GCAAAGGAGAAGGGCGAGGAGGCGGAGGCCGAGGAGCTTGAGAAGGAGAAGCAACTCTTGTTGCATTATTCATTACAAGCCTCAAAGGATTTGTTGCGCTCAACCTTTGCATTCTTGACATGCTAAATCCGGCGTTTGGGGGATATGTCTGTACAGCTGCTCCTCCGTTGGTGTTATTATTGTTCATCTCCCCCATTTCCAAATCCTTGAGCTCTCCTTCATCCTCTTTCTCGTTCTTTCTCTCCCCTTCTCCTTCATCTTCATCGCCTCTCTGCATAACCACCTAAAATGTAACAAACCACAGAACATTAGTTAATCCGAAAAAATAAAAGAAAAATAAAGACAGTGAAGGAGGTGCGGCTTACGGGCTCTGCAACCCCCATCGACGGCGGCAGGGAGCGGCGGCGCTTGGCGAAAGACTCTAGATTTTGCTGGTGATGTAACTGGCTACACCTCTCCTAAAGAATGGATTTCTTTGGGAGTAAAATTTCTTCTCCACGCGCCGGCTGAGGTGGTGGTGGCATCACGCTCCAATAGCAGTGGAGCTTAGTGAATGTGTCGTTTTTTGTTTGACCCCAGAGATACTGTTACGGGTGGGAATGGATGATGAGGTGGGGATCAAGTGTGTGGAGATCCACACGGCTACCTTTCTAAACCACGTGTGGAACGTTTGGGGTTGAAATTTTGACTTTTCTTAATGTGTCAAAGTGTCAATGCATCATTTTTTTTTTTTTTTGGATTTTGCTAATTTGCCACCCTCCATTACAACATGGTTTACAACCATGTGTAATGGAGTCATTAAAAAATACAATAATGCACATTTTTCAATGCTTCCATTACACATGGTTGTAAACTGTTATAAATATATTGATATGGAGATTACTAATATATAATTGGGTCTGAAGTCCAATAGTTAGTAGGATTAGGTTTTAGAATTTCTCCCTTGTAAACTCTATAAAAAGAGTGAATACCGATGAATAAGATAGAGACTTTTCTACTTCTCTTTTCTCGTTCTTTTACTGCACCTCTTTTATGCTTGGATTGATGGATGCTTGGTGAATATTGAGGACTCCAATTTACAACACGTTATTAGCACGCTCTAATCTACAATTTGTTGGTGTTGCCCTAGGAAAGAATTGTGTTATTCTATCAAGGTACTTTCAATCCCTTTTGTGAATTGACATGCTTGATTGAGAATTGAATTGTTTCGATCTATTTGTTATTTTCTATCAAGTCTGAATATGGGACCGATTATAGATGATGTATTGTTTTCTGGTTCCCGAGGTTGTTGAATCAGTAATTTATTGTGTCGATTCATCGTTGCCATATCAATTCATATTTGCCGCTGGGATTTATTTCTGACATCGCATGTCTATGTGAATACATCATTCCATATTGCTTGATAGTCTATGCATTATTACATGTCTGTTTCTAAAATATCTGCGTAATAGAAATAGAAGTTGATAAAATATTACTAAAATTGAAATTGAATCTCCTACGTTCCTTCATAGGATTCAAAGTGATATATGTGGCCCTATTCATCCCACTTCGGGACCTTTTCGATATTTTATGGTATTGATAGATGCTTCCACTCGATGGACATATGTGTGTTTATTGTCTACTAGAAATCAGGCTTTTCCAAAGCTCCTTGCTAAAATTATTGAATTAAGAGCTCAATTTCCTGGTTATCAAATTAAAACTATTAGAATGGATAATGTCGGTGAATTTACATCGAAAGCTTTTGATGATTACTGCATGTCACTGGGCATCGAAGTGGAGCATCCGGTACCTTATGTCCACACACAAAATGGTCTAGCTGAATCACTCATTAAGCGCATCAAATTAATTGCTAGACCATTGTTACAAAATTCCAACTTACCAATTTCATGCTGGGGACATGCAATTTTACATGCTGCTGCCCTAATTCAAATCCGACCTACTGCATATCATGATTACTCCCCTATACAACTAGTGCGTGGTAAAGAACCTAACATTTCCCATCTGCGAGTATTTGGTTGTGCAGTCTATGTTCCCATCTCACCATCACAGCGTACCTCTATGGGCCCTCATCGAAAACTAGGTATATATATTGGCTATGAATCTCCGTCTATTCTAAAATACCTAGAGCCCATGACTGGGGATCAATTTACAGCGAGGTACGCTGACTGCATATTCGATGAAGAGAATTTTTCGGCATTAGGGGGAGATAAAAGCCCAAACATAAATAAATGCCGAGAAATTTCTTGGAATGTAGAAAATCTACAATATTTCGATCCACGCACCAATCAAACTGAACTTGAAGTTCAAAAGATAATTAATTTGCAATATTTAGCAAATAATCTGCCAGATGCATTTACTGATCATAAAGGAGTGACCAAATCTCATGTACCTTCAATAAATGCTCCACAACGAGTGGAAGTCCCCATAAAATCTAATAATCCTGTAGATGCTCCACGCCAGAAGCGTGGTAGACCCGTTGGTACAAAAGACAATAATCCGCGGAAAACGAAATCTAATAAGAATGTTGAATCACTCCCGAAATCTCCAGAAGAAAATCGTCCAGAAGGCGAAAATCCTAGTTTAAATGCACGTGCAACAAATAATAAAAATACTAGGATTGTGGAACATTCAGATCAAAATATATTGGGAAATGATGAAGATCTGGTTGATGTAAATATTGAAGTAGCTACGAATTTTGTTGATACAGGAGAAACTTATAATAGAAGTAACATAGTCGTCAACGACACATTTGCCTCTATAGTTGCTTTTACCATCTTCAATAATCTGAATCCAGAACCAAAATCAATTGTAGATTGCTGGAAGCGCTCCGATTGGGTAAGATGGAAAGAGGCAATTGAGGCTGAACTAGACTCGCTAAATAAACGAAAAGTTTTTGGCCCTATTGCGCGTACACCTCAAAATGTTATCCCAGTAGGATATAAATGGGTGTTCGTGCGAAAGAGAAATGAAAATAATGATGTGGTGAGATACAAAGCGAGATTAGTTGCTCAAGGGTTTTCGCAGAGACCCAGAATTGATTTTGATCAAACATATTCTTCTGTAATGGATGGAATAATGTTCCGCTATTTGATATCTCTGGCAGTAACTATGAATTTAGATATGCAGTTAATGGATGTCGTGACCGCATATTTATATGGTTCATTAGACACAAATATATATATATAAAAATCCCTGAAGGATGAAAGGTTCCCGAAATAAGAGAAAATGAAACGCGCAACATATATAGCATTAAATTACAAAAGTCATTTTATGGCTTAAAGCAGTCGGGTAGAATGTGGTACAACCGGCTGAGTGAGTTTTTGTTGAAAAATAATTATATGAATAACGATGTGTGCCCCTGTGTGTTTATAAAAAAGTCGACGAATGGTTTTTGCATCATTTCAGTTTATGTCGACGACATAAATATAATTGGCACACGAGAGGAGCTTGATAAAGCTAGCTCATGCCTAAAGACGGAGTTTGAAATGAAAGATTTGGATAAAACCAAATATTGTATCGGCCTGTAGATCGAGCATCTCCCTGAAGGAATATTTGTACACCAGTCAACCTACTTGAAGAAGGTTTTAGAAAAAATCTACATGGATAAATCTCATCCACTTAGCACACCAATGGTTGTCCGATCCCTTGAAGCGGATAAGGACCCATTTAGACCTAAATAAGATACCGAAGAAACTTTAGGACCAGAAGTTCCTTATTTGAGCGCCATTGGCGCGTTACTTTATCTTGAAAATTGCACCAGGCCTGATATTGCATTTGCAGTAAACTTGCTAGCAAGGTCTAGTGCTTCTCCTACGAGGAGGCACTGGAATGGTATTAAACATATTTTTAGGTATCTTCAAGGTTCACAAGATCTTGGTTTACTTTATAAGAAAAATCAAGATATGACATTGGTGGGCTATTCGGATGCTGGTTATATGTCTTATCCCCATAATGCTAGATCACAGACTGGTTATGTTTTTCTTTGTGGTGGTACTGCAATCTCCTGGAAGTCGGTCAAGCAGTCCATGGTTACTACATCTTCAAACCATTTAGAAATAATTGCTTTATACGAGACTTCACGCGAATGTGTATGGTTAAGATCTTTAATCCAACATATTCGTGGATCATGTGGAATGACAAATGATATAACCCCCACTGTCCTTTATGAGGACAATGCAGCTTGTGTTTTACAAATGAGTAGTGGGTATGTCAAAGGAAGCATGACAAAACACATTGCTCCAAAATTCTTTTACCCACACGAGCTTCAGAAGAGCGGTGAGATTATTGTACAAAAGGTAAGGTCTAGCGAGAACTTGGCAGACCTATTCACCAAATCCCTTCCTACATCTACTTTTGAAAAATACATTTATGGTATTGGTACGTAAACTGAGAAGACTATTGTCTTTAGGGGGAGGGAAAAACTCAAAATAATCCTGAAGATTAGGTCCTGAAGACCAAATGGTGTACTCTTTTTTCCTTTAACTAAGTTTTTCCCAATGGGTTTATTAGGTAAAGGTTTTTAACGAGACATCTAGTAAAATACATGAATTTTTATAAATCATGTGCTCTTTTTCCCTTGCCTAATTTCTTTTTTCCCATGTTGGGTTTTTAATTGCAAGGTTTTTAATGAGACATGTAGTAATGTCCAAGGGGGAGTGTTATAAATATATTGATATGGACATTACTAATATATAATTGGGCCTGAAGTCCATTAGTTAGTAGGATTAGGTTTTAGGGTTTCTCCCTTGTAAACTCTATAAAAAGAGTGAATAGCGATGAATAAGATAGAGACTTTTCTGC